AAAGATGCGATCTCATGTAACACGGAAATTTGACGTGGAAAATCCGCAAACACAACAGATAGCTGAAGCCTACTCCGCTTAACTTAGCCAACTGCTTGACGAAACCACCCTATGTCCCGATAATAGTATAAAAGCACAATGGCAAAGAATTGCCCACAAACCTACAAACTGCAGCAAAAGCAACACTTGGGTACCAAAAACCACCACCAAGAAACCCATGGTACGATCAGGAGTGTCGTAATGCTACTGATATGAAAAACGCAGCGTATAGGGCAACCCTGCGGACAGTAGCAACGCGTAATGCGATGGAGAACTATCGAGGAAAAGGAGAGAGAAGAAACGTATTTTCAGAAGAAAGAGCAAGAAAAACGTGAGCGTGAGCAAATCGAGATGTACAGGAGTCAGAATGAAGTCCGAAAATTATACAAACGGGTAAAACACCAAACCGAAGGCTTTGGTGCAGGCACATTCTCCTGTAGAGATAATGAAGGAAACCTGGTGACAGATACAGACATCGTGCTGAGGATCTGGAAAGAGCATTTTGAAAAACTTCTGGTATTAAATAGTAGCAGTGAAGGGGATATCCCAGAACCAATAATTGATGACGGTATAGAGTGTATACCACCTAGCCAAGATGAAGTAAGAATAGCAATCAATCGGCTGAAGAATAATAAAGCAGCATATGCCGATGGGTTACAAGCCGAACTATTCAAGACTGGCGGTCAGATGCTGGTAAGGAGAATGCACCAGCTGATTAGTACAATTTGGCTAGAAGAATGCATGCCCAATGATTGGAACCTCAGCATCCTGTGTCCCGTGCACAAAAAAAGAAGACAAGACGATATGTGCCAACTATAGAGTAATAAGTGTACTTCCCATCGCATATAAAGTGCTATCCAGCGTACTGTGTGAACGACTGAAGCCAATGGTCAATGACAAAGTGGGTCTGGCAGTAAACGGCAAGAAGACCAAGCTGATAGTATCAACACGCAAGATGTCCAGTAGACTCGGACCAACTGTGGAACTTGAGAACTACAGCTTCGAGGTAGTTAAAGATTTTATATACCTTGGTACCGCCATAAATAAAACGAATGACATCACTTTTGAAATTCGGAGAAGGCTAGTGATGGCCAACCGATGCTACTATGATCTGAGCAAACAACTCAAAAGCAAGGCCACCTCCAGCCAGACCAAACTCACACTCTACAAGACGCTGATACTACCCGTGCTGTTATACGGATCTGAAGCATGGGTACTTACGCAAGCAGATGAGGCAGCTCTTGGAGTGTTTGAGAGAAAAATTCTCTGAAAGATCTATGGCCGATCTGCGTTGATGATGAATAGCGCCGTCGAATGAAACATGAGTTGTACCAGCTATTGCCGGACATCGACATTGTTAGACGTATTGAGCTGCAGCGACCACATAGTCGCTAGGTCATGTTGTGAGAATGGATGAAGATGCCGCAGCCCAGAAGGCATATAAAAGCGAACCAGCTGATGGTTCACACAGAAGGGGAAGGCCAAGAATACGTTGGAAAGATCAAGTCGAAGACAACATCGCCGAAAATGGTCTTTCAAATTGGAAAAACTGCGTAAAGGATCGACGCGCCTGGAAAACTTTTCTGAGCTCGGCTTATGGAACGAAAGTTCTGTCACAAGCCAGCTAAGTAAGTAACTATACAGGCATGGATTTATTAAAGATTACTTTGTCTAAGTATATCCGATTCAAATGACTCCCGCAAACATGGTAAGAGTCAATTTTTCACTGTCAGTTCTGTTCCAAAAATGAAGCCAAACTTTTACAAAATACATTTATATTTAATATGACTTCAGGTACAATACATACACACACATACAGATTTTTCCCACACCAAGGCTACTGTGTAGGAGGGGGATTTTTTTCCTACATGCCATGCTATATAAAATTTTAATATGCGTTGAGTATATTTTTTGTTCTTGTGGAATATTATGACAGTGTTAACAGCTTCAGCCTCCATTCAACTTGTCATCCTTCAAAGAAACTAAGTCGCACGAAAATCTCACCTCAAGTGTACGGGGAATGAGATAACGATAGTATACCGTTTTTTGGGCATGAACTTATAATGTTAGCCTGTGTGTTCCACACTGATTTTTTACATGGCTTTGTTCATATATATGTATAAATATATATAAATTATTACCAAGCCATATAACCTGGTTACAGTTTCCAGGGCATTATATTTCTTTGTTGTTGTTGTTCGAGCCCTGTAATGGCTTTAAGGTTTTAAAGTTTATTCTCTTTCATGTAAGGTTTAAATGTTAATAAATGTCTGCTGCTGCTTCTTCTTGTTCGATATATGTATGCATATATGAAAAAAGTTTCATGTCATTACCTTTTTAGGTTGGTTTGTTTGGCTGGCTGTTGAAAAGTGGTGCGGTAACATGGAGATATCAGTTACCGAAAAAAAATCAGTCAGGTTTTGAAAAACAATAACGTTGATGATGAGTTCGTTCATTGTATCCCAGCCAAGTACACACCTACTTGCACACATATATCTAAATATATGAGAGTGTGCGTGTGTGCGTACAAGTCAAGGTTATGCATTAAAGAGCTTAAGTAGAGCGTTTAAGGTACTTTTCATGTTTCAGTTTTTTTTTAATATCCCACATCCTTAGCAAGAGTGAGTGAGTGGTAAAATATAATAAGGTTGTATATAAATTTCCTTATTTTGTTATTAACAAAAAATGTGAATATATACTTTCAGATAAGTGTGCAGGTTTTTTTTATTTTCATATATATGAGCGTTTATATTATGTGAATATTTCGTGGTAGTAACTTTTTCGATATTACTCTTTTTCGGTAGAGGGGTTTTGTGTGTGCCATAAAACATGCCATGAATTTTGTTATTGTTTTAAATACGTTGGTGTTCTCCGGTTATTTATTTTGAACACCTATAACCTGCTCAGGTTATGCCATAAACTTTATACATGAGAAATATGTGAAAATGTTATATTTATTTAAAATGCCGTTTTAATGTACAAAATATTTGGATTATTACAGTGTGCATTCAAGGTTAAATGGAGGTTAGGTCGTAATGAAAAATTTATTTAGGTTGTAGTCAGCGGAAACTTAGCACACATCGTTCTAAGGTATATTCAGTACGCTATACCAAATTTCGCGCAAATCGAAATGTATTTAGGGACTTTGGTGCACCATTTACCTCAAATCGGACGAAAATATATATGGGAGCTATATATAAATTTGAATCGATTTTCATGAAACTTAGCAAACAATATTCCAGGCTTAATTCAGTACTCTGTGCCAAATTTCGTGCAAATCGAAAGATATTTAGGGACTTTGGTGTACCATTTACATTAAATCGGACGAAAATATATAAGGGAGCTATATCTAAATCTGAACCGATTCTCAGAAAACTTAACACACATCATTCTAGCCTTAATTCTGTATGCTGTGCTAAATTTCAGGAAACTACATTCTAGACCTAATTCATTACTCTGTGTCGAATTTCGTGCAAATCGAAAGATATAAAGGGACTTTGGAGCACCATTTACATTAAAGCACACGAAATGATATATGGGAGCTATATCTAAATCGGAACCGATTTTCATGAAACTTAACACACATCATTCTAGCCTTAATTCTGTACGCTGTGCAAAATTTCATGCAAATCGAAAGATATGTAGGGACTTTGGTGCACCATTTACCTTAAATATAACGAAAATATATATGGGAGCTATATATAAATCTGAACCGATTTTTCCCAATTTCAATATGGTTCGTCCTTGGGCCAAATAAGTGAAGTATGCCAAATTTCATCCAATTCGGATCATAAATGCGACCTGTACTTTGTTTACAGTTTAACATGTAGAGGCAGACAGACGGACATGCATAAATCGACTTAGAAAGTGATTCTATGCATATTCTCAAAAGGAACCATGTGTCTATCTCGTTTCCTTTTTCCTGTTAAAAACATATGCACAAAGACATAATAGCCTGTACCACAGTGTGGTGAAGGGTATAAATATTTTTTAAATAAATCCACGTCCTTGAAAAAATATTATTTAATAAATCCCCGCCTCAGTTGGCCCTTGAAAAATATTATTTAATAAATCCACGCCTCTTGGCCCTTGAAAAATATTCTTTAATAAATCCCCGCCTCAGTTGGCCCTTGAAAAATATTATTTAATAAATCCACGCCTGTATAGGTCCTTGAAAAATATTATTTAAGAAATCCACGCCTGTATAGGTCCTATTCTTTAATAAATTTTTAAAATATAGGCCTATGGATGATCTTTGAAAAATGTGTTTTCTTTAAATCACCTCAAACAGATGATCCTTAACAAATATATATTTTTTTTTTAAATATGCCCCGCCAATGATGGAATCTTGAATAAGATTTTTTAAATCCAAGCCTCGATGAGCCTTACTTTATTTTCAATTGTTTTATTATTTTTTATTAAATTCCATATTTTCCCTGTAATATTTTAAAACCTGTCATTGTTGAAGTTTTTAAATTCATATTGTTTTCAGTGCCTTTGTTTAAACCACATATTACTTTGGTCATTGTTGTAGTAAACCGTAGCATCAATATCCGAACATGTTGTTGTTCGGATATGGTTTATAGGCCATTTAATGACACTTTTAAGTTGCTGGCAAACGGAGAAAAAATTACTACTCGCCTTACTTTTTTTACAAAACATAAGTGGGTCATTGTTGTTCTTTTGTTCCGTGCATTTTTTTTTTTTTTTTTTTGCCCTCCATACAATGCCCCATATGGATCACATATTGTTTTGGGGGTTATTGTAATGGCAATGGCGATGATGATGATGCTGTTGACAAAAAGTGACAATGTTTTTTTTTTTCATTGTCTTGCCAATATTTATTGTTTAAAATATTGTATAATTCATATTGGTATGTACGCTGGTTTTTACTACCTTATATACTGTATTTCCTTATTGTTGTTATTTTTTCTTTTTTATTTATATCTTTTTTTACTTACATACTACATTCAATTTCCACATAGTCTCCAAATATAAACCATTAACATTTGGGTTTTCTGCTCGACATGTTATCGATTTGCCATCATCATCTGTTGTTGGCACAAAACTCAATTCGGAACGTGTTGTGTTGTTCGATATGTCATCCTACAATGAAATCAAAACAAAAGGGAAAACATTTTTTTATTACCATTATTATTTATACATAATACATATGTGTGTATGACACACATATGTATATGTTTATATGCAACAAAACAGAATATTTTAAAAATTCACATAAAATAACCTAAAAATGCTGTATTAAATTATTTAATGCAAAATTTGTCGTAAAATATTAATAAACACATATACATACGTACCCACATAACAATGTTTGAAAATGTTCATTGAGTATTAATATGTAATGCGTGATTTTATTATTGGTGTTTCATTTCCTTTGTTATGGTTTGGTGAATATTTTATCTGTGGGAATAACAACCCCTAAGGAAAGAGCCGAAGTCGGATGGTTCCGACCACATTGTACCCTACATGACATTGGGTATATACAAGAGGTACTGCCAAGAATTTTATTGTAATCTACATAATTCGATACACTGTGCAAAATTTCGTACCAATCGGACAAGTGTTGTGTATTTATATATAAGGGAGCTTTTTTTTAAATTTGAATCGATTTTTATGACCTTGTGCTATAGAATGAAGTGGGTTATGTTTCATGGCAAAGAAATACTAAATTCAATCTGCATTTTGCCCACAAAACTACTTGAAAGGACAGATATGCAAAAATCGACTCAGAAAGTGCGTTTTTGAATACTCTAATAAGAAACTGCAGACGGAAGTATACGTGTAAATCGACTCCAAATAATATTGGGAGTCCAATTATATTGGGTATTATTGGGAAGTGACAACAATTTGCCACATATTTTGAAATAGTCATGATACAACTTTGATATTTTGCACATATGTACATAGCTAATACCCCTAAGAGGTTTGGTATTGAAAATAGGATATATCGGTACATGTTCTGGTATACAGTCCATAGAAATTTCACGTCCCTTTTCGGTATTTAGAAGTCTGTAGCAACATTTCTCCAACGTAGTGGGTGTAATTTGGCGATCCGTGTTTCTTGGAGGTTTCTTGGAGTTTCCGTCCCAATTTTGGTATTCTGAAGAATTTAGTCGCATTTCCCGCCAAAGATGATGTAATTTGGCAATAGAATTTTTTCGATAGAGGGCTACATCTATGGAGAAGATAAACAATATATGTGCATGTTATTACATAGTCCCCCAAATAAATGTGCCACCTTATGTTTGTCATTTTGAAGAGCTTCGCGTCATTTTTTCTACCAAAGTGTCTTGAATTTGGCATAATGAAAAGTACCAAATTATTTTCGGGAGATTTTCAACGCTTCTCTCAGAAGTGTCAGGAATTTGCCATTCCGAGCACCTGGATGACAGAAGTCGACTATGGAAAAACGCAATATATTGGCATGGATTTTTAACGAACGAATATTTCAACGGCCAACAAGGCGTTGACTTTTAAAGAAAAAATGTTTCAACGACCATGAAGGCGTGGATTTTTTAAGAAAAATTATTTCAACGAACAACAAGGCGTGGATTTTTAAAGAAAAAATATTTTAACGACCAATAAGGCGTGGATTTTTAAAGAAAAATTATTTTAACGACCAACAAGGCGTGGATTTTTAAAGAAAAATTATTTCAACGACCAACAAGGCGTGGATTTTTAAAGAAAAATTATTTCAACGACCAACAAGGCGTGGATTTTTAAAGAAAAATTATTTCAACGACCAACAAGGCGTGGATTTTTAAAGAAAAATTATTTCAACGACCAACAAGGCGTGGATTTTTAAAGAAAAATTATTTCAACGACCAACAAGGCGTGGATTTTTAAAGAAAAATTATTTCAACGACCAACAAGGCGTGGATTTTTAAAGAAAAATTATTTCAACGACCAACAAGGCGTGGATTTTTAAAGAAAAATTATTTCAACGACCAACAAGGCGTGGATTTTTAAAGAAAAATTATTTCAACGACCAACAAGGCGTGGATTTTTAAAGAAAAATTATTTCAACGACCAACAAGGCGTGGATTTTTAAAGAAAAATTATTTCAACGACCATCAAGGCGTGGATTTTTAAAGAAAAATTATTTCAACTACAAACAAGGCGTGGATTTTTAAAGAAAAATTATTTCAACGACCAACAATATATGCGTGGATTTTTAAAGAAAAATTTTGCAAGGTCTATCCGAGCCTTAGGCGTGGATTTTTAAAGAAAATTATTAAAAGACCTATAAGGCGTGGATTTTTAAAGAAAAATTATTTCAACTACCAACAAGGCGTGGATTTTTAAAGAAAAATTATTTCAACTATCAACAAGGCGTGGATTTTTAAAGAAAAATTCTTTCAACTACCAACAAGGCGTGGATTTTTAAAGAAAAATTATTTCAACGACCAACAAGGCGTGGATTTTTAAAGAAAAATTATTTCAACGACCAACAAGGCGTGGATTTTTAAAGAATAATTATTTCAAGGACCATCAAGGCGTGGATTTTTAAAGAAAAATTATTTCAACGACCAACAAGGCGTGGATTTTTAAAGAAAAATTATTTCAACGACCAACAAGGCGTGGATTTTTAAAGAAAAATTATTTCAACGACCAACAAGGCGTGGATTTTTAAAGAAAAATTATTTCAACGACCAACAAGGCGTGGATTTTTAAAGAAAAATTATTTCAACGACCAACAAGGCGTGGATTTTTAAAGAAAAATTATTTCAACGACCAACAAGGCGTGGATTTTTAAAGAAAAATTATTTCAACGACCAACAAGGCGTGGATTTTTAAAGAAAAATTATTTCAACGACCAACAAGGCGTGGATTTTTAAAGAAAAATTATTTCAACGACCAACAAGGCGTGGATTTTTAAAGAAAAATTATTTCAACGACCAACAAGGCGTGGATTTTTAAAAAAAAATTATTTCAACGACCAACAAGGCGTGGATTTTTAAAGAAAAGTTATTTCAACGACCAACAAGGCGTGGATTTTTAAAGAAAAATTATTTCAACGACCAACAAGGCGTGGATTTTTAAAGAAAAATTATTTCAACGACCAACAAGGCCTGGATTTTTAACGAAAAATTATTTTAACGACCAACAAGGCCTGGATTTTTAAAGAAAAATTATTTCAACGACCAACAAGGCGTGGATTTTTAAAGAAAAATTATTTCAACGCAAGCACTGATATTTTTTAAATAATACTAAAACTACGATACTTCCTTAAAGCGATATTCCTTAAAAACTATTTTGTAAAAAAATCCATACCCTGATATCCTAGGGAAAGTAAAAAAGTCGGACGTGGCCGACTATATGAAACCCACCCACACCACTTTGGGTATATTCAATAGAGGAATCCTAACAGATGTCGCATTTTTGAAGGACCCGTAAAATGAAATTGGAACCATAAACATGTCATTCTGCAACCTATACCAAATTTTTCATGTGGTCAGATATAGAGTTGCTTCTTAAAATGGGAAAAATTATGTAAATCAATTTAAAGCAAATGTCAATCGGACACCCGTTGATTATTTTGATAAATATCTGATAAATATGAAGAGTTTGGTGCACCTATATCTAAATCTGAACCGATTTCAATTAGACTTGCCAGAGATAAACCCTTTGAGCCCCGAATTTCTTTTCACAGATTTAATGCAACTACCCTAAATAGGATATGCACAAAATTTGACATCAATACATCCTTGCATTGGGGAAATACAATAAATTCTTTCGAAAAAAATAAAGTCCAACATCAAGAAAACCAAATGCAAAATCGACAGAAAAATTATTTAAATTATTCCCTATATTCATTTTTACAAAATCAAAAATAATTCTGATGGCAGAATTCGTACAAGATGAATACGAAACGATTTCAATAATAATAATAATTTGGACTATATACACAAAATGTGAAAAAACAAATCTGATAATTCTACAAACTACAAAGATCTTTTATACCTTGAAACCCTACTTAAAAAAATATTTTGTAAAAAAATTCACACCTCTGATTTTCTTTTAAAAAATTAATTTGTAATTTTTATATCTTTAAAAAAAATTATAAAAAAATTTTAAAAATTCACGTAAGTTGTTTAACCCCATGCATAGGAAATTCTTGTTTTTAAAAAATCTACACGTATGATATTTCTTGATAAATCCAAACCTTTGACATTTTTAGAAAATCTACTCTTGGCAATACGATATAAAATTAAAAAAAAAACCAGTAAGGAAAGTAGTAAAGTCGGAAGGGGCCGACTATATGATACCCTTCACCACTATGGGTATATTAAACAGGACTATTATCATGAAATTGTATGAAATAAAATATAATAAATGTGAAACGACCTAGATTTATCCATAAACATGTCATTCGTTTGTTACAATGGAACAAAAGTATGTAAATCGACTTCAAACAGGTCATCCGTTTGGGCTAGGTCTGTACTTCTAGAAACCCCAACTACGTTATTCTATGCCCAATTTGGTACATTATTTAGATTAAATCGGACGAAAATATATATATCTAGATCTGACCAAGAACTTGGTACATTATTTAGATTAAATCGGACGAAAATATATGTATATATATATATCTAGATCTGAATCGATTTTCACGAAACTCAGCACACATCATTCCAGCATCAATTCGTGCAAATCGAAAGATATATAGGGACTTTGGTGCACCATTTACATGAAATCGGACGAAACTATATATGGGAGCTATATCTAAATCTGGACCGATTTTCACGAAACTTGGCAGATATCACTCTAGGCTCAATTCAGTACGTTATGCCAAATTTCGTGCAAATCGAAGGATATATAGGACCTTTGGTGCACAATTTACATGAAATCGGACGAAACTATATATGGGAGCTATATCTAAATCTGGACCGATTTTCACGAAACTTGGCAGACATCATTCTAGACCTAAATGATTACGCTGTACCAAATTTCGAGCAAATCGAAAGATATATAGGGACCGTTTACATTAAATCGGTTAAATATATATATGGGAGCTATATCTAAATCTGAACAGATTTTTCCCAATTTCAATAGGGTTTGTCCTTGGGCCGAATAAGTGA